CTTCTTATATGGAGTCAGGGAACCAGACTACAGGAAAATGATTGTTTTTCTTGGTTTTTATAGCATTTTTGAACCCAAAACCTCAAAAAAGTCAGTGTAACTATATTTGCTTTATATTTCCAACCCCCCAATTCCATCCATTTCTGAAAATTACAGCAAAAGCAAATGATGTATATTCCCTTTAAAGAGCAAAAACATATATATTTGTAATTTATGAGAGATTAGAGCCCCCTTTTTCACCTTCTGAGAAGTGATGCAACATTGTGCCGAGGTTGACACCCAGTAGATTTTGTCTGGGAAATTTGTCAATGAACACAATTCTTGAGCACCTTTATTTGCATGGGATTTGGCAGCTCAGATCAATAGAAACTGTGACTTGGGAGTTCGGAAAGGGTGAGAACATGTGTGTGGTCTATACTTTGCCTCAAGGTAGAAACAAGTTCAAATCATTGGCCATTTCAAATGTTATAAGGCAACAGTGCCTTGTATGTAACATTTCTCTAACCCTTGGCACTTTATTTGATCATGATTTGCTGTGGAGTATCTGCACATTACTGTATGTTCAACACCCTATTGTTCCTTTAAAGTTTGGTAACTTGTGACATAAAGGTACTGACAACTTCAAGGACATTTTTTTGACTGGAATCATTTGCATTTTAGGAAATGCCAGATTCCAAGATATTTGGCATTGAATGCCTGGCCTCCTGGCTCAGCATGCCACGTTTTATTTGCTGATGTCAGTCTTTATTTGGTATCCTCCTGTCAAGTGGAGACTTACATTGTAAGTATACAACCCAAACTTGCTATCTGAATAATGGTCCTGCGAGAGCAATTAGTGGTCCCTGTATTACAAGCCTCATTTACTCCAAATAATCCCCTGAAGGCTTTGCCTTGGAGCAATTGTACTTTACTTTCGGTGTAGTAGTTTTGTTCCCACAAAAGAAGGTAAAGTGTTGAATTCACGCCACATTACATGTATATCAATTTTGTTGGTGTAAGATATGTTAGCGGTCTGTTGACCTCAGCTTACAATTTAGAAATCGAGATTCAAGCAAATTTAGTTGCGCTGTCTGCTGTCTTAAAGACAAAATTATGTGTTTTTCCTAACCAAAATTATTGCTCTGACAGAGTACTGATGGAAAGTCTAATCTGATATGTACAACTTGGATTATTTAGTTACTTAATTCAAGAAGTGTGGTTTGAAGTTGACTATATTTTATGACTCATTACATATTTGAATTGAATCCGGAAATCTTGCAGGATGAAAAAGTGGAAAAGCAGCGTAACAAATTAATTCCAGTAAATTTACTTGACAGAAGTTCAATACTGTGGGTCTTTGTCCTTCACAAGCGATGACAGTTAGCTAATATGTTTGCAGCCAGGATTGGTTTGAACATTGCACTTTCTATATCTGCTTCTGACTGTGTATGAATCATTGCAACACTGAACCGAACAGCATTCAAATTTCAATGGAAAAAGAGCTTTGTTTTTTACACTGTACGTTCAAGTTTGCTATAATAGGCTTGTACGTTGTACATCTTGCATGCACATTCAGGATGCATATCAGGGCAGCCTGGGCACATTATTGTCATGACATTTCCAGCAGCAACTGCTTCGATTCTCTCTTCTCTCGATTCTCTCTTTTATTTTCATCACTTACTGAGAGTACATTCGTGACCAAAAACTGTCATTATTAATATATTCTCCCACTAAACTCCCACCACCAGCACCAGTCATTGAAAAACCTTTCTCTGTACAACCCTAGCTGGAGCCTTGTTGAAGAGGTCTGTCCTTGATTAAAGAAAAAAAAATGTTGAAAACACATCAGCGTTACATAACAGCTCAGCTAATAATTTCTTTTACATGCATATCATGGCTATTTAATATTTGACCTTTTTATAATGTAGGTACATGTACCCTGGAGTGTCTGGGAATAGAGCCAAATGAAATACGAGACGGACTCAGAAAAGTTTGCTCAAACAGTACAGTTTGCGGCAGTTCCCACTCACTGATTGGATTTTGCCCTTAACTTTATTACCGTTCGGTAACCATTTGAAACAAACTAGATACAATTTTGACATAGTTGTGATTAAATGCAGAATTCTTTTCACATTAAAATGGAACTGGAGTTTATGTGGAGATGCATCAAAAGTAAAATTTGCATAACTTTGTAAGCTAGTTTGAGGCCGGGTTTTTTTCTGAAGTACTTGTTTCGTCATTTTATCGAGAAAGGATAGGAACCCATAATGTCCTGTGTGTATATGCATGCTGCAGTTTTGGTGAAGGACAACATCCAATTGAAAGATTTATAACCCGCAGTGATAATCACCTTCTTGGCCATTGAATGTCATTGAGCTAATCACAGCCAGCTTAGGTAGAAGAAAAACAACATTGCTTCTTGGTTAGATATTCTTTATAATATTTCAACAATCTTGGCCACCCTGTTGGTTACATTTTGGCATTGAGACTCTAGTAGTTTAGGGGATTAGAACAAAGGTCACAGGCTCTGAAAGCAAACAATTCACCATGCGACCTATTGGTGTTGCTGTCTGAAATCTTCACACTGAGTCAGAGTGGATTGCAGGATTTTAGCAGCTAAAGAGTTATTAAAGTTCAAAGTTGGGTAGCTGAGCATCTTCTGTTATTTCCTGTGAACTCCTTACAGGGGAAATCGATGTTCACGCACCCTGAACTGACCATATCCTAATTCTACCACCTTGAAGTAATTATAAGTTCCTCAAATAACTTGTTAGAACTTCCTCATGCCCCTGTCATGCGTTTTCCTATTGGGAAATCCTTTTGGCCATTAAAAGGTCACGCTTTTCAAATGAGATTTAGGGCAAGTTACCCTATGAAATTTGTTGTAATTCTTCCATCAAGATTATATTATAAAATTGAGACCGGTACTTAAAAATTGAGCAAAGTGTTATAAACATGAATTGCATATTTCACCGGCAACATTGCTTTGGAATAAAAAAGTAGCTTTGTGCACATTATGCAAGCTTGAATTTATGTCCTTATTTTTGATTATATATATATTTTTTTTAGATTTTTATATATAATTATAATTTTGTGTGTAGCCAGAGGTATTGGAATCGAAGGCCGTCGTTGTTGTGATTTGCGTTTTTTTATGCCGAATAAATAAATAATAATAATAATAAAGAAAAACAAGGAAAGAAATGATGGAAAGAATGTTGCATCCTGAATCCAATTTTTTTTCATCATATATTATCTCAGTGAAGGTCAGTCATTGCAAAACTGTTGAAAAGACATGAACCTGAGACTGAGCAACATTTCCAATTTTGTTAGAAAATACTTTGAAAATGCACTCGACTCTCCATAGACTTTGTACACAACCAAAGAAGTGGCCTCTGGATGCTACATTCTTTCTGAAATGATAAAAGTGTGATTTGCCAGTGAGGTTAAAATCTTGACCATGCAGCCTATTTTTGAACAGTCAAAAAAAATTGTAGAATAAAAGTAGCTTTGTGCATATTGAAGCAACCTTATGCCCTTCTTATTCTTGATGTATTGCCTTGAAGAAAGAAAAACTAGGATAGAAAAATTTTGCCAGTCATGTTAAAATCTTGACTAGGCTATTTTTGAACAATTAAAAAATGGTTTTTCAGAATAAAGATGCATATACCTAGTGCTGTGCTACTAGTTCTGTGCTACATATTGTATACAAGCATGTAAATATTGTAAGCTTGTCATGGAAAAATAGGTATTGACTGTGATTGATTATGTCCTCTGGCATATTTACTGAAAACTCATACCTGTAGATGTTTGGAAAGAATTGGTGTAAAGTCTGTAAGTCCCAGTGGTGACCCTGGGTGACTCCTGTAAATGTGAATGTGATTGACTTTTTTGTCAACAAGTCTGGAACAGCCCTGCAGGGATTCAGTGCTGCATATTGAGGGTATTGAATGTGATGACAAGAACATCATTCTAACATATTGCAGGGGCAGTTCAGTGGTGACATACATACATGTGGCTTTTTGGTTAACACTGGTCAGGATATTATGTTGATTGAGTGATAAATGATCTGCACACCACAGACAATTATGTGGTTTGTGGTCTTTCGGGAAATTTTCTAAAGAGCCATGATGTGGTTTTTTCTGCTTTTGACTTTCGAAGTAGTACTAGTAGAGCCTTCCACTTGATGGTTTGAACCCTGCAACTATTTTGCTTTATCCTTCAGTGTGTACTTCATGGTTTTGCCACACTTAGGGAGTCCAAAACTATTTTAAGAAGCTGAAGAATTAGGCTGGCTTATACTCGGTACAGATGCAAATTCGAATGCAAAATATTGATGTAAAATTGCACCCAAGTGTTCAAAATTTATTATGTATACACAACAACAAAGCAGGTAAAATGTGTAATACTTTTTTCTGGTAATGTGTATTTTTTTTTATAACGCGCACGTATATCCACCCTTATTAGTGCTCAAGGCACTATCATTATTACTCGTGATCATTGGGCTAATGATGAAACATTCCAAAAACAATCTCAGCTCCCTGAGGAGTATACAGCTCCACAATGTTGCCATGTCAGTGCAAAGCAGCTAAAGTCAATCACAACAACCATCTCTGCCCTCACATGTACCCATTTGCTCCTGGGTGGGGAGAAACAATGAGTAACAAAAGAAAAGTGTCTTGCCCAAGGACAAACGCACCACATACCCAGGCTGGACTCGATCCCACAGCCTGCAAAATTACCCACAGACCTAGAGTTCAATGCTTCAGACCATGAGGCCGGATAAGGAGGGGGTTTTGATCCTTTGCACAAATGGAAACTTCACATCGAAATTGGCAAAACATTGAAATTAGCAAAAGTGGACACCAACTCCCCCCCCCCCAAGGAATGATGGCCAAGCGCCCCCTCCTCCCACATGTCAAGTGGCGCTCTGACCGACAGACCTCATTCATATATCAGGGGTCCAAAAATGTACACATGTGATATTTGACTAAATATTCTTGAATTTGTGTTGATAATTTCAGGCAATAGGCTGTGATGGCATCCTCGGATCCGGCCTCAAGTTGGACAAGTGCGGCGTGTGCGGGGGCACCAACACCCAGTGTGAGGTGATGTCGGGTGTCTTCACGGGCCAGGACATGGGACACGGCTACCACAGGATCACCACCATACCCACAGGAGCTATGTACATCAACATCACTGAGCTGACCAAGAGCAGGAACTACTTGGGTAAGAAACTGTTTACTGTTTGAAGTGTTTTCCATTACAGCAGAATGAAGAGTTTGTTTCAGAAACGTGATAAATGCCATTCTGTAACACCTTTAAGAATCCTGTCCTCTCCTGGTTTCTCAAAGTGAGTTTTGATGGTTTCTCAAAGTGAGTTTTGATGGTTGTCATGTAGTTAAAACACAATTTAAGAATACAACAAAATGAGAAATTATATACCGGTAGGTTAGAAACAGCTGTTATTATTATTATTATTATTAATCATTTCTGGTAATGAAACCAAGGATTCCTCAAAAGCGCCCTAGGCACTGTAGCTCGCAAGCCTGAAGAAACCTGTGGAGAGAAGACAATGAGAAGAAGTTACAGTTTTAGAGGTGGGAGGAAAAGCCCAGAAGAATATTCTGGGGAAACCCACGGAATTAGGCAGGGACTGAAAACCCAATCCACATATTGGCCCAGGTGGGATTCGAACCCGGGTCACAGCAGTGGAAGGCGAGTAAAGTACCGCTACGCCAACCTGACTCCCCGTTATAACTGTATATTTCAACAAGTTTTCAGACCCATGTAACTTTTTCACCTTTTCAGATGGATATCTCGCATTTTGGAATTAACTCCTCAAATAGTGAACACTTGATTATCCACTTTGGCTATACCAAATCCTTGCTGTGTGATTTTACTTCAGGAACATTGGTGGCTGAAAATTGCTATATTCAAAATGAAGGACTGTTTTACTAAACAATCGCTCGGGTACTGTGTTCATATTAGCAAGTTCTGCTGTGCTTAGTTACTTCACATGCTGTATCAAATTTCCTTTTGAGGTATTTACCATAGACGGAAAATATTATGAGGATTAAGGAAGTCTTTTAAAATAGAGGAAGTGTCGTTACTTCCCATTTATCATGATATCTTTTATTTTAAATGGTGTTAATTTCTAATTCTAGTTCCTTTTTGGGGGGAGGGGTTGGACAGATCAAAACTGATTAAAGTTAAAATGTAAGACATTCAGTTTCAAATTGCTTTTAAATGTAAATGCATGGAATAAGCCTATCAATCTCGGGACTCTGCAGTTTGGTTGCCAGTTGTCCAATAAGAAATGAAAAGATCTGCATGCAATGAGTGAGGCTGAACTCATTATTTTTTCCCTAAGCTTTTTTGGTTTGTTCCCCTTCATGGGTAAGCCTATCAGGTATGCCTTTTTGAAAATTGAAGTCCAAACTCTAAATGGTTTTTTTATTGTTGATTTGTCATTTTTTTTGTCATTTTTTTTTTTTTAAATCTTTGACAGCTCTTGAAGGTGTCAATGGAAACAAATACATCAACATGGACTGGAAAATTGATGCTCCTGGCAACTACTCTGTAGCTGGGACGTATTTTATTTACAAAAGAACACCTGGTAGAACAGGAGTTGGTGAACAGTTGTTTGCTGATGGGCCTACGACGGAAGATCTTAATTTGATTGTAAGTAGAAATTCTGTCTGAAAATGCATATGTTAAAGGGAATGTACATCATTTGCTTTTGCTGTAATTTTCAGAAATGGATGGAATTGGGGGGTTGGAAATATATAGCAAATATAGTTACACTGACTTTTTTAAGGTTTTGGGTTCGAAAATGCTGTAAAAACCAAGAAAAACAATCATTTTCCTGTAGTCTGGTTCCCTGACTCCATATAAGAAGAAACAGAGCAGTTTACATACATTGGGGAATTGTAAGGTCAGGGAACCAGTCTAGCTGGCTTGTACCCGTTCATAGGTGTGTAATCGATTGCAAACAAGTGCGATGGTCAATTGGGGCCAGTATTTGAAAAAAAGCCAGTTTTTTCCAATGCTGGTCGGCCGACCAGCGTTGGAAATTGATACAAAAATACCACTTTTCTTGAAAATGACAGTATACCAGGTGCCATGATTTTACAGGATGCTTTACACTGTCATTCACTAACAGTCCAGCAAGGTATTTCAAAATGATTTGGTAGTTTTATTTTTTGATGTTTGCAAATGTTGTATTTTCCCTTTAACAGAAATTAAGATTATTCCTTTGATTTCAAGCCCTTGAAGAATGCTGTCAAATCTGCTTTTTCAGGAGATTTTGCATATCGTTTGAACATCAAGTCTACAATTCGTTGTGTCCTTGCAACAAGGTCGTATCGCCTAAAATGGCGTGTGACGTCATGTACGTGAAACGCGAGTTTTCAATGTCAAAAGGTTAAAATAACCCGGATGTACACACAAAGTCAATGGACGTCGCGTTACGTAAGATACAACTTTTTTGCAGAATCGAGTTACGACCTTGCTGCACTGACGTGACGAATTGCAAGTTCTCAGAACCACACTCCATTCACAAAAATGATACACAAACAAACCTTTATTTGTTTTCTTTTTTAAGGTTAACTTAATACATTCCGTATTCAGAAGGTGGTTAATAGTTTGAACCAAGTTCCCCTGCATTTTTTTGCAGTGATCAAATAAATTAAGAAATTCACACTTGAATCAGTAATGTTGCTACAGGTGTACATGCATGATTTGTTAATACCTAACTACCATAATTATAATAGCACCATTTTGATATTTAACTGAGGTTAATCTATTTCCCAACAGCTGATAAACCAACAGAAAAATCCGGGAATCTCTTACGAGTACTCTGTGCCTAAGGAGGTGCCCAGCGGTGGGGTAGAGAAACCCCCAGGGTCCAGCATACCCCAGCCCTCTGTGGCGCCAGTGAGGGGCCAGGTTATCATCAGGCCGGAGGCCCCGCCTTCCAGGTCTCAGGTAGATGACAGTCTTCTAGGACATAGGATTCCAATTTTGGTTGGTCTGGCTGCCAGATCATACTTGGTGCAAAAGAGAACAAGAATGGGAATTTTGTTGACGTCACGTGAAGTATTTGTACTGAGAATCCATATAAGTTGAACACATAGCAAGCGCGTACAATTTTGCCCAAAGTTCTATTCGTCAAATTTCCAATTTCGTCGAATTCTATTTGCATTGGTATTTGCTGGAAGTATGAAATGGCATTCAGGACACTTAGATTTGAGGTCAAAAGGTCAATGTCCAAGACAAAATGAAAGGATTCACCCAATGTTGGGGTCACGTTGGGAAAAAAAAGGGCATCGTAACTTCACTTTGGAGTATTATGAGATTTGAAGGTTTGCATGGTGGAAAGATACTAAGACAAGAAAAGTTTGCGGTAGCACCATGTGAATAAACCTCTTTTGAGAGTATGTGTGGTTCTGAAAAGAACCGGAGGGACTCAACGTTTCGAACAGTATTTTTTCTGCCCGTCTTCAGGAGAAACTTTAAGGTCCACAAAGTGATAAATCATGTGTCCATACCCACACCTCCACCCAGACCCCATGAGAGTATTAGAAAATAGAAGATACGTTTGTGGACGCTTGTAGCCATTGGTCAGATATTGGCTAATTAAATCCTTCTATCTGCAGGTTGCAGACCTGTTCTCTGACCTAAGATTGGGGTAAGGAGTGTGTGGGGTGGGGGGGGGGGGAAGTTCATCAACCTCTGGCTGTGTTTGCTGGATTTTCACATTCAGGTGGGGTGGGGCAGGAAGGGCATGATGGAAATGTCAGATGGACACATAAATGGGGTCTGGGTGGAGGTGTGGGTATGGGCACATGATTTATCACTTTGTGGACCTTAAAGTTAATCATTTCTGAAGAATGAAAGGTTTTTAAAATCATTTATAACATTCAATATTAGGTTTTGCCCTTTACCCCATGTGTAAACACTGTATATACTCAGTAATAAATGTAATAAATGACTTGCCCTAGGCATCTGAAGCTTGAAGCAAGGTTGATTAATGATGAGCACCGACAAATAAAGATTAAATAGTTGACAGCATGGATTATCGCACAAACCTGATTGCCTTACTGGGATTAGTGCAAATTGGGTCAAGGGAGGAGCCTTAGGGAAGGGAAAGCAAGGTTTAGCAGAGGTCATCAGATTGGGAGGTCAAAGAAAAATTCCATTTATAAAAATCAGCAGAGAATGTTATCTCAAAGAGACAGGCATAGTTGAATTTTAATTCATTTATGAATCACAGCTGCTGTCAATTGATGAGAGCCTCTTTTTGAGTCCTTTCTAGATATTGAAGCAGGTCATCTTACTGACAAATTTTTCAGTTAACAACATCGAACTCACGCAAGACAATCATTTCCGTGAATTATCAAGAAAATATATAGTAGTGGAGAAAAGTATATGGAAACAATTACATGAGACAAAAGGGGTTTATATTGGACAATAGTCGTCAATGTAGGAGAGTTCAGTAACCCTGGCCAAATTTACTTTGGGCAGTGATAATATTCTCACTTTTGCTTTGTTACTATCATGGCAAATGAGTGTTCATAACTATTTTTTTTTTTGTGTACTTGTACCGATAGGTAAGCGGTGGGGTCTCATTTAGTACTTTTTTGAGTGCGGGCCAAGCAGCACCGGTCTTTCCCTCAACGGGCTCTAAACAGAACCAGGCACAGAGCTCTGCAGCATCACCAGCGCAACCTTCTCGTGAGGAGGGAACCAGCTTCAGTCTTCCAGGGACGGAGACTGACCCCAACAGTCGACAGCAGAAGGCAGGAGAACCTGAGCAGGAGGCTGATGCCCTTCCCAGCGGTGACCACTCACGTAAAGGTCATCAGGACAAAGGTCATGGGCATCATCAAGGTACCAGTCAACACAGAGGTCATCATGGATCTGGCGGTCACAAAGATGGTAGCAGTCCAAGCCAGAGTGAAGATGGTGATCGTCCACGCAATGATCAGCCAGAGGAACCACAGGCAGACAGTGGAACCCACAGGTACCCTGCCTCACCTTTCAGAGGTGTTGAGACCCAAGCCAGGGGGCTACCGGGCTCAGTGTATCAGCAAACGGTGTCTGCAAGGGAGCAGGCAGGAACTGGCGGATACCCCAGCCAGGGGCAGTCTTATCCTCCCCAAGGTCGGGATTCTATGTACCCCACCCAGGGGGATGGAGCCAGGGGTTCAAGTGTTGACCAGCCACCTAATGGCCGCGGATATCCTGGCAGATACCAAACATACAACCCTAATCAAGACAAAGCATCAAATCCATACTATCCCAACTCCAATCCGTATCCGAATCCCAATCCTAACCCAAATCCATACCCGAATCGTAATCCCTATCCCAACCAAAACCCCAACCCATATCCCAACAGCAACCACAGACCCTATCCCAATACCAACCCCAATACAAATCCTTACCGGAACCCCAATGTTAACCCTAACCCTAACCCCTATCCCAACTCCAAGCCAAACCCGGTAACCCGTACCCAAACCCGTACCCCAACCGCTACCCTAATAACCAGGAGTCGTCACAAGGCAGGCAGCCGTCTAACCCCGGCCAGCCTCAGACACCATACCTGGAGATTGACCCCATCGAGTCCCATCGCGGCAGCAGTGAGGGATCAAGCGCCCAAGGATCCAGTGATTCCTCAGCTCTTGAGGGTAGCCCTTATGGTAGTCGGGATACCCAAGTCAGATACGGCTGGATCGATGTGGGACTGACCGAGTGCTCATCAAGTTGTGCTGGAGGTAAGCTTCTGACATGAGTTGTCATTTTGTTTGGATGCCAGTCTTTGGCAAGTTCAGTTTGCCTTAAGCTCTTCAGATTGCTCCATCTTTTTTAGATTACCGGAAGTAACTGGCATACGTGTATATGAGTAAAAAAAAAAGTCATCTCAATTTTTGTTTTTATCAAATCAAGACGTTTGTAAATCTTAGAAGCGGATGTGTTTATTAGTGGGGGGGGGGGCCTAGATGTTCCTTTTTTTTTGGGGGGGGGGAAGGAGGCGGGCGCCCAATTTCTGTATCTTTCTGTGGGGGCACCCTTCAAAGCGGACAATAGGTTGCGCTCTTCATGATGGCACAATTAAAGACGCTCGTGCAACGTTAAATAGGTCACTCATGACAAAAGGCCGCTCGTGAAAACGGACTACCAAATTTCCAGTGGTTTCCAGCAATTTTTTTGGGGGGGGGGGGTGGCGTGCACCCCACAAATGCCCCCCTTTACTACGCTGAATCAAAACAAAGGATGATAAAATTGATTCACTGAAATCACATACAATACATGAAAATGGAAAAGGGAATGATATCATGAGAGAATGAATTTAATGTCAGTAAGTTATTAATGATGGTATTTAAAAGAGAACTAAAAGCAGAGATCGACAGATACTACAGATGCATGTAAGAATATCCATACATCTTAAATTGTAGTTTGAAACTCCCACAAATTTTCTGTTGAACCTTGCTCAACCCAGATCCTCTGAACATTGTATGCTGAGGGACTAATTCTAGGGACTTGCGTACAAGAAATAACAATCCGTGTGCGTGCAAAAAGCACCTACGGAATCCAGAGGAGGATAATAATGTGCAAGAAGAAGTTGACGTTTGTGGCTTGAAGCATACATGCTTCTTGTTCACTGTTTCCCTTTTAAAATAAAACTGGCCATTTCTTTGGCGACGTTTAGGCCTGTCGAACCAGTAGCGTAGCCAGGGGGTGCAGAGTGGCAGATTGCCAATGGGATGGAGATTTGAAAAGCAAAATTGGGATGGTGCATAGAAGCAAATGTGGACGATAAAAATGGGTAATGGGATGAAAATTCTATTTTGCAAAATTCAACATTTTTAATTGATTGCCCTTTTTCACAAGTGCCATTTTCCACGAACGCCCGTGTTTACAACCGTAACTGTTGTACCGTGTTGAACCCCCCCCCCCCTTTTTTTTAAATTTGAGGCCAGGTGTCTGGTGAAAAAAACACGTCTACCTTTCAGCACGGATACCACTGCAACTGACAAACTAAAAACTCTAATTATGCACAGTCTAACAGAATATTGTGTTACTTTGACTTTCTTACACACTGAAAGGATGCAGGGCTTAGAGAATTAGGCAGGTGCCTATAGCTAGCTATCCCATGGTGAGTTGGGAGATGATATCTTCATTATTTTGCCTCCAACATCGTCCGCAAGGTGAAAATACTGTAGTGGAAATTGACAGTTGCACAAGAGGCATTTCTGGGGGGGGGGGGGGGGGTAAGGGGGTTTCTGTTAAAATTTAGCTAAGTTAGCCAGAAATTCCTTACTTATTCAATATTTTCAAGCAATCAACTGCCCAAAAAGTTTTGTAGGCCCCCTCAACAAAAAGGTTTTCTGTCTATAGTTATACATTTTGGAAGTAAATGCTTTAAAGTAAATTGGATAGTGGGCCAGGATTATGACTCAGAAATGATTTCTCCAACTTTCTTTTCATAAGATATTTATCTGGATATCCTTAGCACGAATGGGGAATTGAAACTGCATGGAATTTCAATGTTCATGTACTTCCGTGACCTTCGGAAATGAATTGCGTGACAGGGAACGTGACAGGGAACGGAAAAGAGTTCTTCTAGTCAGAGATTAATGTTTAAATTTTCAGATAACAGTGAAGCGTGAGAGCATCAAAGATCCAGAGATTATTTAAATAACCAGTGCTTCTCTTTCTGTTATGCTTAATTTTAAAAAGTGTTGATCTAAGAAAGAGAGCACCCCGCCTTAGTCTAAAAATAACCAGCCAATGACAGATCAGCTTTGCAACAAATTTCTTCCGAGGCTATAAATGAAGGAAGTGATAAAAAAAAAGTCGGACCATGTGTAGATATCGCAGCCATACTTTGTCAGGTTGACAAATCTACGCAGCCCAATTGAATTTCCTCCACTACAAGGCTTTCCATTGATGTTTACCAGTTTCGGTACAGTTGCCAAGTTTGTTTTTGTTTTTGTACTGCTGACGAGGGTGGAAACTTTTTTGATTGTGTTATCCTGAAAGAAACTGAGATGTCTGTGTTTGATTGATCAGGACCAAATGTCTTGTTTGTAAACAAGGGCCTAGTATGAGCAGCAGATCTGCTGTGTACCATTTCTTAAAGTTGCTCCCCCCTCTCCCACTTTATTTGCAATTTCATCCTGAAAATAGATTTTCGTTGTACATTGCTACTTTTCAATTCCCTTTAGAATGAGACATCAAAAAGAAAATCTGCCCATGTGAAGTTATGGATTAATTACTTAACAAATTTTAAAAAGTACATGCAGTCCCACAGAAATTTGCATTTCTCTATAATATCTGTGCAAAAACATAAACAAGGAAAATTCACTAGGAGAAAAAAGGTATGGGTAGGTAGACTTTGATACTTTATAGAGTAAAGTGTTTGATACTTTATAGAATATATAATACAACTTTAATACTTAATAGAATGAAGTATATGGTTTTGCCTGTCTATTCCGAAGAGTGAAGTTCACTCCATTCGAGTGAAAATCCACCCCTTAGACTGAAACTACCGGTAGGGACCAGACATTTTAGAGTGAAATTCATTCAATCAAAAAAGATCAAGTTTTCACTCGAGCTTCAACTGATGTGCTTCTTTTTTTTTCAGAGTATTTCAATCTAAAACGAGAGTGATTTTCACTCTAAATCATCTAATCCCTAGTTTCACGTATTTCAAGTCGTGTCTATTCGATGCAGGCACATGTTGTGTGTGCATGTACATACGGTAATACACACACTTCAAATACACAAATGTTGTTTCTTACACGTCCGCAGATTGTGAGTCACTGTGCAGCTGCATCACAACTAGCACTGCAACAGCTCGATTTTTCGGGACAAAATTGTGACCACCGAAATTCGTTCTTGCATGGTTCTTGCAAGAATAACACACAAACGCCACATTTTTAGAGGATGGTTGTGTGGACGTTTATCTACTTTTGTACGTTTATTCTACTTTTAGATGCTCTTTCTATTGAATATCATTTCGTTTAAAATGCATTTTGTAGCCCAATTGGGTACATTCCAGGCTGTAATGTCCCTCTGTGTGCACAAACCCATTATGTGACTGGATGTGCACAAACTCTTACGGATGAATCGACTGTTGGAGAAGGAAGCAGGTCAGGACTGTCGAAAATTAACTCAGGAGCCACAACATTGTTTTGTTTCCTCACGCGCAGTCACAACATGAGGAGGAAGAAATCAATGAAATTGATTTCGTCTGCAGAAGGTTAAGCAGCTCCCCTTTGACTTTGATAAAAAAAAATGGTTAAATGAACTGAGTAAAGGCTTTTTTCATGACTTGTATTTGACATAATTGCTGTGAATAGTAAGAAGCTGATGAGAATGTTTGTGTCTGTGTTGTTTCCTGTTTTAGAATTTCAAGGGAATTTCAAGTTTGAACTATTAATTAGGGAGGCTTCGCTTCCCCCGCAAAGCAGGTGAGGAGGTTTTGCCTAACCGCCTGCTTCATGAGCAAGTCATTGGCATGAAATATAGTGCACAGTTCACTTTTGACCTGAATGTGCTCAACCAGTCGTGTCTTTACATGGAAGCTTAATTGGTGCAAAAGAGCAACGACATTCTTCATGTCATACTCTTTTGTCGATGTTGAGGGGGTACTTGAGCATTGAGCCCGCAATACTGTATAGACACAGAACAATTTTCACATAGCTTATTATTTCCCATGTCATTGAAATCTGGTATAAGCAAAGAAACTGAAAGAGAAAGTGAAAAATCCTATTTGGATTAACTTTCTGCTCTGGAAAACCTCAATTTGAAAGTAGAGTATATATCATTTGCAGCTAACCAAAAAGTTTGAAGAAACAATAAAAGAAGAGCATTTTCAAAGGTGCGTCAGGTGTTGCATTTTTGGAAATTTCCGTTAGTAGTTGATTTGTGATTCGGCGAATCCGCGAATGAGTGCGTGCAAGCGTTAATTGACAGGACGCACGCGCGCGTGTGTGGTTGCTATTCGTCGGTTCAGTGTGTGACATTGCTAATAGCTGCAATCATTTGAATGAGACCGTGTCCCTGACGTTGATTTCGGGCGCAATTTAAACCATGACTCGGTAACTTTTGAATTAAAACCGTAATCGTAGAATATTGTTTTCTCGAAATATACAGCATTCACAGAGCTAAAAGTTCATCAGGTTAGTTGTTTAAACACCCGTCGTAAGATGTTGCTTCAAACTAACAAATGATCGACCCTACCTTTAAGAAGATCTTAATGTTTCTTGAGAGTATAGTAGCCTGGTGTGGTAAAAGAACCAGCCCTGTATTTTGTCCCAGAAGACCAAAGTGAAACTTGGGGGGTTCCCTCAACTAGGCTTGGTGATATTTTATTTGGTAACCAACAGGAAATTGTCAATTATTTCTCAACCATGGCTTTAGTCAGGGATGGTGCACTATCTCTGCCCAGGACCCCTGCCCATGAACTTCCTGAGGACAAGGGAGCTTTCCCTGAAGATGTAAGGTTATCCTCCCATGGGATCAAGGCTGTAAGGGAAAATGGCACTTGGGAGGAGAAGGTGGTACCTCATTTAGCTCATGACCAAAGGCAGAATCCTGCACTTGCGTAAAACAAATCTGCCAAGTAGATCTCCCCTCCTTATACAGGGTGTTTCAATAAAAAGGAAACCCAACTTTGAAGAACCAGTATGGACAGACTAAATGTTTACTGGCTATAAAACTGGTATCATCTGAAAGTGTAATCTCTATGCTTTTCAATGATACCTTG